GAGGACAATAAATGCTGGCGGGGATGTGGAGAGGCTAGGACGCTCCTGCATTGCTGGTGGGATTGCAAAATGATCCAACCTCTCTGGAAAGCAATATGGCACTTCCTCAGAAGGTTGGAAATAGAAATACCTTATGATCCAGTAATATCTCTACTTGGTATTTACCCAGAAGAAATACGAGCCATAACATGAGTAGATATGTGCACACCAATGTTCATAGCAGCACTATTTACAATAGTAAAAAGAGGAAACAAACTGTGGAACATACACAAAAAGGTATATTATGCTCCCTTGAATAACAAGGAGGCTGCAATCCACTGCATAATATGAATGAACCTTGAGGACATTATGTTGAGTGAAATTAGTCAGTCACAAAAAGAGAAATACTGCATAGGACCATTACTGTAAAAGACTAAGCAAAAGAACCCATACTAAAGTGGGGGAGGGGATACTTTGCTGGCTACTGGGATGTTGGGGTGGGGTGAGGGGAGGGAGAAGGTGGAGCACAGGGTAAGGAATAGACACAGGATAGTTTGGGTGCTAGGGAAGGGGACAATATACAAGAAGGGGGTGGGGAATGGAAGAACAAAGCAGGTGGGAGAACAATTAGGCAGGTTTGCATGGATTAAGTGGGACAGAGCTAAAGAATGATGTATGCACAACCTTGAACAACAGGGCTCTGGGATACAGGGATTGAGACATGATTGGAATGGGCAAAATGGGGGAAAGAATGTTAAGATGCTTGGCTGTCTTATGAATCTTGGTTTCCCCGGCATACCACTATAAAATAGACACTTGAAAGGGAGAGAAAGGAATAGCTAGAAATATCACCATAGAAAGCTTGTAAATCCGTCTTCTGCCTATAACTGATTGGAATACCTAAAATGGTGCTACAACATGCCCAGTGAAGGAGGCTTGCTGCAGTGCACCTGCATTACGTAAGACCATAGGTGGAATCCTGAACAGCATCCAGAATCTTCAGAGTAGGGAAATGTCTACTTGAAAGGACAAGCAGACCAGCCTGGAGTGGCTAGAAAAACAGAGGATACTTCTTGAAAGAACGACCAACAGGAAAAATACAAAACAGTATAGGCATACTGACTGATTACTACAAGAATAAGCAACTTGATTGCCCAGGAAACATCAAGGCAAGTGGTCCAGTCCTCTCAGCGCAAACCCCCTTCCAAGACTAAGACTCAATGGGAATAACACTCTGATTGGTGACCACATTCGTCACCGATAAGGGGAAGTGAGGGAAAAACCACAAACGAGCTGTGAGCTAAGCCCTACAACGTTCAATATACCCCTGTGAACCCGGGTGAAGACCTGGTTGGCCAGCAGTGTGGCAAGACCTGGGGACTCTTGGGCCCAGAATCAGTGACATAGCCACAGAGGACTAGAGTGGAGAGTGAAGCGTCCAACTGATAAGAAGAGAGGGCATATGCACAAGAACACCCACACTTACAGATAATACCCACTTGACCTGGTTTCAATGACTGGATGATCCGAACTCAACTAGGAGAAAAAAGAGG